AATGCAGCTTTTGGCCCAGATTCCCCACACTCTAGAGCCAGCCTCTCCTGCCCAGGCTGTGCACCTGAGCTCCCCCACATGCAGGAGAAAATAGCTCCCATTTCCTTCCAGCCTTCCAGGAATGAGCCCCTGGGGACAGGGCTGCAGGGAGGCAGAACCCCAGGGTGCTGGTGGCTGGATTTCACTCCTAGCCACTGGTGTGATCCTTCTGTCGCAGCCCTGCACACTTCTGGTGCCCATTTGTATTATTAACCCTGCCAGGTGTCTCAGATCCCACCCTCCTGGCCATCTGGGCCCTCCTTGGAGTTGTAACTGCTGAGCACGGAGCCACCAGTGAAACAAAGAACTCAAGACTTCTGAGAGGAGGTTGGGACACTGCCTTGTGGTACATACTCCCTCAGCATTTGAGGGATGAAGTCAGAGCCAGGGTGAGAACCCAGGAGTCTGTGAGGCTAGTGACTCACCAGAGAAAGCTTTGTGAGGCCCACTTGTTGTTGGATGAGGCTGGGATCCTGGTTGCCTGACATTTAGTCAGCAGAGTGTTCCCTTCTCTGAAGACAGGAGGCCGAGAACAGCACTGACCCTGCAGGGTAAGCTCCACAGGCCGGGATCAAGTCCAACTTTTGCAATGCTTCAGCCTGGGCTTGTGATACCTCACACCCTTGATACCCACTTGGGGGTTATCTGCTGTCATTTTGTTAGTAGGTCACAGAAGGAGGCAGGTGTCATGGAGTGAGGAAGCCCTATAACCTGAAAACACTTGGGAACTTCAGGGGCTTCCTCTTTTGGCTCTCACGCTTGCCTGGAGCCATCTAACCAGACCTAATTAATCAATAACCAAGCTGTTGCTTTCCTGCCAACCAACCACCTGAAGAGTACTTATTCTATCTGTGAATTGATTGCCACACTTTTGCCACCACGACAGAGAATCCCTGTGCCCACAAAGGCTGAGTGCCAAAAGAATGCTGTGACTGCCCTGCCACCCTGCTGTGGAGACAGTGTTCCCAGTGGCCCCAGTCTTGTTGAAGATGGAAAAGAGAGGACCAGAGAGGGGTGTGGAGGGGTGGGGCTTGAACCTCAAGTTACCAAAGAGATGGCTGTTACCCTGCTGGGGCTTAAGGTACATTCAGGTCCTGACTGCTACCACCACAGGAGGGAGCCCACAGACCTCTTAATCAGGGTCTTGGACATACTGAAGAAGAGGGTCCCCTGTAGCAGTGGACTGTGGTGATATTTTGTTTGTGCTTTAACAAATAAAGCTTGCCTGAAGATCAGAGTGCAGAGCTAGCAACTAGTGAGCCATAGAGGCCAGGCAGTGGTGGCACACACCTTTAATCCCAGCACTCGGGAGACAGGGGTAGATGGCAGGAGGAGACAGGAGCTTAGCCCACTCAGTCGGAGGATTCCTAGAGACAGGATCTCCCCTTTGGTCTGAGGATTCAATAGAGGTAAGAACTAGTAGGCTGGCTGCTCTACTTCTCTGATCTTTTAGTGTTAACCACTATATCTGACTCCAGGCTTTGTTATTATTAAGACCAATTAGAATTCATGCTGCAGTGGATGAGGACCCCATGGAGCTGGATGCTACTTTAAGGTGCTAAAGTGAATGGGCCTGTGGTTCTTACCACAGTACCTCTGACAGATCGACACCATCTAGTATCACCTGTGTGGTAGGCCTCTGGACATGCCTATGTGAATTACCTCTTTATTTTGTTAAGACAAGATCTCTCTATGAGCTCTGTCTGTCCTGAACCTCCCTATATAGAACAGGCTGTCTCAAACTCACAAAGATCCCCCTGCCTCTGCCTCCTATGTGCTGGGATTAAAGGTGTGCCACCATGACCCCCTGTGGGGATTATCTTAATTGTGTCAGTTGAGCTGGGAAGATCACTGACTATGAGTGACAACCATTCCTTACCAGGGAGCCATTAACAAATAAAGCTTGCCTGAAGATCAGAGTGCAGAGCTAGCAACTAGTTAGCTATAGAGACCAGGCAGTGGTGGCATACACCTTTAATCCCAGCACTCGGGAGACAGGGGTAGACGGATCTCTGTGAGTTCAAGGCCAGCGTGGGCTACATGAGATTGATCCAGTCTAAAAGAGAAACAGAGTTAGGCAGTGGCGGCTCACACCCAAAAAAACAGTATTTTAGAGTCACATGCCTTTAAGCCCAGCACTACGGAGGTGGAGACAGGCAGGGATGTGGCTGGGCAGAGAAAGGTATATAAGGCAGGAGGAGACAGGAGCTCAGCCCACTCAGTCAGAGGATTCCTAGAGACAGGATCTCCCCTTTGGTCTGAGGATTCAATAGAGGTAAGAACTAGTAGGCTGGCTGCTCTACTTCTCTGATCTTTTAGTGTTAACCACTATATCTGACTCCAGGCTTTGTTATTATTAAGACCAATTAGAATTCATGCTGCAGTGGACGAGGAACCCATGGAGCTGGATGCTACTTTAAGGTGCTAAAGTGAGTGGGCCTGTGGTTCCTACCACAGTACCTCTGACAGATCGACACCATCTAGTATCACCTGTGTGGTAGGTCTCTGGACATGCCTATGTGAATTACCTCTTTATTTTGTTAAGACAAGATCTCTCTATGTAGCTCTGTCTGTCCTGACCCTCCCTATATAGACCAGGCGGTCTCAATCTCAGAAAGACCCCCCTGCCTCTGCCTCCTATGTGCTGGGATTAAAGGTGTGCCACCATGACCCCCTGTGGGGATTATCTTAATTGTGTCAGTTGAGCTGGGAAGATCACTGACTATGAGTGACAACCATTCCTTACCAGGGATCCTGGACTGTGTAAGTGAAGAAAGGGAGCCGTGAGGCAGCCTGCATTCATTGCTCTCTGCTTCCTGATTGGGGACATGATACACAGCAGTGGTTCTCAACCTTTCACAGGGGTCTCCTAAGACCATAAGAAAGCACAGGTGTTTGCACTATGTTTCACAACAGTAGCAAAACTACAGTCATGAAGTGGCAACAAGAATAATGTTATGGCTGGGGGTCACCATAGCATGAGGACCTGTACTAGAGGGTTGCAGAGTTAGGAAGGTTGGGAAGCACTGCTCTACAGCTGTGACCTCCCTACCATGGGGGACGGCTCTGTGAACCGTTTCTCCCTTAAGCTGCTTTTGTCAGGGTGTTTAAAGTCTTTCTTAGACCTACTTATTTGTCTGTGTGTAAAAGCTTTGTCTGCATGTGTGTATGTGTCCATGTAGGTCAGAAGAGGGCATCAGGTCTCTGGAACTGGAGCTATTGATGGTTGTGAGTGACTGTGGATGCTGAGAATCAAACCCAGGTCCTCTGAAAGAGCAATGAGTGTTCTTAACTGCTGAGCTAGCTCTCCTGTCCCTTTTCAGGGCATTTTATCACAGCAACAGGAAAAGAAATGAATACAGTGGCCATCTTTCAGATGGCTTCCAGAACATCCCAGATTTGAAATGTCCTGACCCAAGTGGGCAGGAACTAGAAATCATAGGCACCCACAGCACAGGCCACAATGCACACCTGCTTCTTTCTGCCAGTGTTGAACCTGACTCTACTTCCTGACTGGTCACCTTGTCTGCATCTCCTGGAATCCACACACATCAACATGAAAGAAATTTAGACTCACACTGCAATCACTCCGCCCCTCCCCTCCCACCCCACCCACCCTCCCACTCCAGGCAAAGGAGGGAAAGGGCTGGAGGCTTTCCCCACTCCACGCCTTCACACCCTTCTTCTCAATCCTGGTCAAATTATGGAAACACACACAGGCATGCTGTGTGTCTTATAAAAGCAGAAAAGGGGAGTGGGTAAGATGGGTAGAAATGATACAAGATGCAAATACAGTCCCAGTGTATAAATGTCTCATATGTGTGTGTGTGTCTGTGTGTGGGGTGGTGTGTGGTTGGGTGGGTGTGTGTGGGAGAGAGAGAGAGAGAGAGAGAGAGAGAGAGAGAGAGAGAGAGAGAGAGAAAACAACAGCAAAAAGAAAAAACTCCAAAGGCAGGGCACTATTAGACACATGGGGGCAGCTAATGGCTTTTCCTCAGCAGCACAGGGCCCGCTATGAAGAGACATACAAGATGTGAGGTCCAGGACCTCCAGGTGCTGCCTTTGCCCCTGTCATGTCTCATCACCTTCAGGCCTCACACTGTCCTGTCAGCCTGCTCCCACCCTCTGGTGACATTCCTTTGGCCAGTATTCATTTTATTTAATACTTTTTTTTGGGGGGGCAGGGTTCTCTGTATTGTTTTGGAGGCTGCCCTGGAACTCACTCGGTAGATCAGGCTGGCCTCAAACTCACAGAGATCCCCGTCTCTGCCTCCTGAGTGCTGGGAGTAAAGGTGTGTGCCACCACTGCCCAGCTAATGCACTGCACACTGGGCACTGCTGTGAGCTCCTCACCACGTCTGACTCATCTAAGCACCCCAAGGTCCAGAGGGAAGCTCCTCTGTTCTACAGGTGGCTTGAGAATGAGGACTTCTGATAAAACCAACACAGTTATCTACTGAATGAACAAACTTCCTGGATGGTGTAAAAGCCCCTGTCCTCCCTGGCATTTAACACCCACACAAGCTCCCCCAATTACATCAAAGCTCGGGTATCTTGACTGCATAGGCTGTTCTTTGATGTAACACCAGGTGACAGTTGAGGCAGGTGACTCCCTTGAAACCAGGTGGCATCCTGAGAACAAGGTTATATCTGGTACCGGTTTGACATAAGCATTCCAGGAATTGGGTGACAATCTAGAAGTCAGGAGACATTCAGGTACCAGCTGATATCCCAGGAAAGAGGTGATCTCTAGGTACCCAGGTAACATCCTAGGTAACATCCCAGATATCAGGTAACATTCCCAGGAACCAGGTAACATTTTAGAACCAGGTGACATTTCAAATATCATATAATATCCCTGAAAACCAAATATCCCTAGAAACAGGTGACAGTTACCATGTGACAACAGTCCAGGAAACAGCTGACATCCTCAGTGACATCCCAGTGGCCCTGGGTCTTACCTGCCGATGATGTAGATATTGGAGATGGCGTAGAAGTACTTGTAGAGGTTCTCCCGCTGCACGTAGGTGCCGCCCAGCGCAGGGCGGAGCAACCGCATGCGCAGGTCAGTGAAGGTGAAGAACTCCTTGAGGCCCTTGGCGCTCTCCAGCCTCGTGTACAGGTTGTCCATGTTGCGCAGGTCAGGGCCGGCAAAGATGGCAAAGCGGTCCCTTACCTCGAAGCGCACATGCTTCTCCTTCTTGGACCCTGCCCAGCGTGAGTACTCCTCCGTGCAGAGTACCCGGTTGGCACTAGAGGGTGACATGTCTCGGGCTCGGCGGGCAGACATGCCGAAGGCCTCCATGCAGTCCTCCGCATAGAACTGGTAGGGCTGCCAGGTGCGGCCATTGTCTAGGGACTTCTCGAGGACCATGACAGTGGGCCGGCCATACTCGAAAGTCATCACCACATCGTCCGTCAGCTCCACACTCTTGTTCCATGAGAGGGTGATGTTGGCCTCCAGTGGGCTGGGGTAGCGACTCCACGTGACACTTTGCCAGTAGGTGGCCAGTCCCTCATCTTCCCTGTCAAACATAAGCCGGGGTGGGTGGGCCAGGTCGGGGTTGGAGGCATCGCACTCGTTACTGCACAGGTAGGGGTTCTCCTGCAGAGGAAGAGAGACAGGAAGCAGGTGCTGGTCACTGGGAAGGGCCTGTGTATGTTTTCCCGGTGCCCAGCCATTTGCTAGCCGTCACCAAGCTCCGGGTGCAGGCGATGGGAAGTGCCTGTCCCACACAGATAGCAGGTGCCTGATAATAAGATCATGGGTCGGGGTGGACAGAAAGCTGGGACTCTTAGATATTCTGTACTTTCGACTATGTGTTCTACAAGCCCATAACTGCTCTGGATGGTAGACCTATTAATTAACAAACAACAAACCCTGCCACTGACAGCCGCACAGTGCCCCAGTCCACACAGCTACTTTGATGAATATTTCAGGTGTCTGTGCAGAGACAAAGTAGCTTGGATCTGAGTTAAAAACCTCTCACTCTCTAATGAGCCACGAGGCCCCTGAGGGGGGTGGACACATTGCCACCATCCCCAGCCACCCTGTCCAGCAACACTGCAGTCAGTCACTGGCCATGGGCTTTGATCCTCCACAGCACAGGGTTGGTGCCTGGCTGCCTAGAGCTGCTTGGTGGGCACAGCTAGCCTAGGGGGTTCTCTAAGGCAGGTCCTACAAAGCCCTGATGGACCAAAATAGCCCTGTCCTTAGCACCCTGTGGTGCCAAAGTCCACCCCACCTGCCTGCCCTGCTGATGGGTGGGACCAGAAGCCTTGGGGTTTCCAGCCAGTCTGGCATCTTACTGAGTAGAGTGGGAAACTGGGGCCCAGGGAAGGCAAGATAAACCCAGGTCTTCTCAAAGGCATTGGAAGTACTTCTGAGGAGAAACCAAGCCCTATCAATCCTCCCTCTCCGTCTTTCTCATTTTCCCCTTCGTCCCCTCCTGTCTCCTTTCCCTCATCCACCCTCTTCTTTCCCCATCCTGTCCTGCACTGCCTCAGTGATACCCCCTTTCAAGTCTGGCAAGCTTACAAGCACAATGACAAGGGAGATTGTTGTTACTTCCACTGGTGTCTCATGCTGTTGGTCTGACTGGGAAGGATCTGAGTGACCTCCACAGGCTCAGTGACAAGCAGAGGCTAAGCCCAGTGACCAGGAGAAGGTAGCAGGCTGCTGGGCTGGAGGAGACTGGCTGACCATGAGGTCACCCCTAAACCCCCTGCCACAGGTAGCATGAAGGACACTCTGAGCCCAGGGCAGAGTACACCTGTTGGTATACTGGGAAGTGTAATGGCAGGCACATGCTTATTGTTTGTACATGAACGAGGAAGCTGCAGGACAGCTGACTCAGGCTGGATGCTTTCCTACCCCCTTTCTCCTATTGCCCTAAGCCTCATCTGGAGCTCATCTGTGTCCCCCCAAATTCATTTGTTAATGCCTAACCCTCAGCAACCTCAAAAGGCAGCTAGCTGTATTTTGAGACAGTCTTTAAGATGGAAGAGTTGGCTGGGTGGTGGTGGTGCACGCCTTTAATCCCAGGGCTCAGGAGGCAGAGGCAACAGATCTCTGTGAGTTCAAGGCCAGCCTGGTCTACAGAGCGAGTTCCAGAGAAACCCTGTTTCAGAAAAAAAAAAAAAAAAAAAAGAGTTGAAGGACCCCTTCTGGTGGTCCTTCTTTTGAGAAAGGCCTCCTTATAAGCAAAGAAGAGGGGCTCACACAGAAACACCGGGGGCATATGTACACACACCTGGAGGAAAGGCATGAGACAGATGGAGGTGGCCACATACACCATAAGGAGTGAGGCTGCAGGAGGAACCACACCTCCAGCACCTTGATCATGAAACTGTGAGACAGTAAACATCTTTGCTGAAGATGTCAGCTCCTGGCAAGCTCATCCTAGTGAGCCAAATGGGAGGGGTGGCGGCGCAGAGGGGTGTTGCTGACCCTGGGTTTTCCAGGGTGTTCTCAGGGACTCTTTGGGCCTTTTCCATAGCCTTGTTTTGTTGTTTTTACCCTCCTCCGAAGGCCGTGTCCTTTCCCAGGCCGCCTGGTCCCTGGGTAATTTTATTAATGTCTGCCCATCTCATATTGACTGTTGATATTCCCGTCACACACACCTCCCCCTCCCCAGCTGCTGTGAATCACCATACTTCACCTTTTCCCTGGATCTTTTTCCAGTCCCCCCTCCCTGCCTTACCTACCGCCAGCCTGCTACTGGTCCTGGGGGTGGGGGTGGGGCGGCAGGGACAGGGTTCCGCAAAGCCATCATCTGTTCCTGGCCTCCCATCACTGAGAAGATGGGTACAGGGGCTTTGCCAGGGTCTAGGGAGTCCAGCCTGATTAAGGATACATGCTGCCCAACCTGCAGGGCCTGCCATCCCCCTACCCCAGCCCCTGGGAAGCAGATGGTGAGACACTAATGAATCAGTCTGTGTATTTACCAGGCTCATGCTGGCTGCAGAAAGGGCTTTGCCAGCTATGAGCACAGCAAATAATCCCAAGCCATGGCCTTTCCTCTTCCTCCCACCTCACAGCCACAAGATCTCAGCATCCTGTATCACCAAGGAGGCATGGGCTGTGGCCACACTGAGCCAACCCCTTTCTGAACATGCCTTGGCTTGCTTTCCATGCCACAGTAGGGAGAACTCCAGGGGAGTTCCAGCCAGCTCCACCCCCACCAGAGTGAGCAGAGGGACAGCTGAGGACAACGGGAGGCAGCAGTGACTTTGCCAGCCTTCTGGGTCTCCAGCTTCCATGACTACAGAGCAGATTAAGTGTTAGTGAAAACAGCCAAATGAAGTGGCCTGACAAGGACAGCCAACATCAGGCGAGTTTCGAGCACCCTTTTACCTTGCAGAAGGGAACCCAGGCTAAGCACTGATGCTATCAAAACCAGCTTCTCTGGTCACTTAATGATTAGCACCCCAAGATGAGTGCAGACACCCCTGATTTTAAAGACCTTAGGGGGAAAATGCTTTAGGGACTTGGGGCATGGTTCAGTTGGTAAAGTACTTGCTGTAGAGACTTAAGTTCAAGCCTGAAAAACCATGTTAAAAAGCTCTAACTGTGGAGGCACTGGCAGAAATATCCACGGGGAGCACTGGGCAGCCAGCCTAGATTAATTGGAAATTGTAGGCCAATGAGACACCTTGTCTCAGAACCAAGGTGTACAGTGCCTAAAGAGTGACACCTGAGTTGACCTCTGGCCGCCATGCATATGTACTCACAAAAACATGCACACACATACTGCAGTCACCCGCCACATACATTTCCCATACAGAGTCTAGGGGCTCCCTGGAGCACTAGGTCTGTGTTAGAAACCCCTGTTTAAAAAGAGTATGGGGGCCATTAAGGAAACTGGCCCTAAAATCTAAAAGCCCTAAGCTCAGCTCAGATCCACCCTCTGAAGGTTTTGTGACCTTGAGAAAGCCACTTGTGTTTTCTATCTCCTTGTCCTGTGTTCTGTGTATGAGAAACCCAGGTGATGTCATCATACAGTAGTGACAGTTTTACATACCTGATTCCTGCATGTCAACTGGAATGGGGGGTAACCCAGCTACCTTACGAGGGAAGGAGATGGCGGTGGATGCTGGGCACCTGGGGACTGCATGACACAGACTACTTTAGTAACAGCTTGTCCAGTAGAGCACAATGATGATGGGGTCAGGGGCAGATGTTGTTATGGTCACTAAGTACATACAAGCCCGATGTCACTATCCATGGAGACGACGGGACTGACTTTGGAGAATGCTGGGAAATCGGAGTTCAGCATCTCCACAGTTTTCCTTTTCCCACACACCCCAAGCAAGTCACCAGCAGCACAGGGCACAGGGTGGGGTAGGGTGGCATGACAGGTCTCTTGCAAAGTCTTTAAGCAGGAGACAACTGGCAAAACCATTTTTTTTTTGTGTGTCATGCTTGACACTTTTGACTCTTCAATGATTTTGCTTTTCTGTTATTTTCGGGGCAGGAGTCAGAGTCCAGGTGGCAAACACACTGAGCAAACTCTGGGTGAAAAGCATAACAGAACAGGAAGTGAAGTGCTGTCAAGCACAGCAGCCCTCATCTGGGAAAGTCCAGCCAGTGAGTCTCCAAACCCCTAACCCAGAAGTTCTCACAGGCCTATTGGGTCTTAAGCAGCCTATGTTCAGGTGGTCTATGTCATGGAGTCCCCAGGTTCTCGGCATATCCCAGCACCCACCTCCGTCTCCCTCCCACTCCAGCTGACATGAAGGAATGGGCTCTGCAAAACTGTCTCTACTGTGTGGCGACATGACCTGTGTTTCACACAGAACACAGGATGAGAAAACAGAGGTTCATAGAAGTCAAGTGGCTTTTTCAAAGGCACCAGAATTGGAACTGTCTGGGGTAGAGAAATGAATGGCTTCATACCAACTGGGCTTGAAACCCAAACCTGTATGGGAACAAAAATTCTGTCACTGCCCACGATATGGGCTGACTTGGTGCTTCACAAAGGGGCTTGCAGGGTAAGTCTGTGGTGGGCTAGGAGGGGAAGATGATCCTCTCAGTTCTTGTCAGGGAACTCAGACAAATTCCCTGAGTATGGATGAACTTTCAACTTCTTCAGACCTGCTGGGGTTCAATACATGCTACCTCAAACTATGTATTTTTATTTATGTTAATGTGTGCTGGTGTGTGTGTGTGTGTGTGTGTGTGTGTGTATGCATGTCTGCACGCTCACATATGTGTTCAAGTACCCATGGAGGCCAGAAAAGGGTGTCAGATGCTCTGGAGCTGGAGTTACAGTAAGTTGTAAGCTGCCAGTATGGGTGCTAGGAACTGAATCTGGGTCCTCTGTAAGAACAGCAAGTGAATGCTCTTAACCACCAAGCCATCTCTCCAGCCCCCTTGAACTATTTCAAGTGGAAAGAATTTGAGAAACTTCTATGCAGTAAGGTTACCCCTGGCCCTTCTTTTCAGCAGGTTGTGAGGCCCTCACTGAGGAGGGTCCTGTGTTGGGAGAATGGAAAGGGACCCCTTAACTCTAAGGACCTGGGGTATCAGCAAAGAGCACCCAGGCCTTGCTGAGGTCCCCTGGTTTATGAACTCCCATCAGGCCTCTTACCCAGTTTTTCTCT